TCTCTCTCTCTCTCTCTCTCTCTCTCTCTCTCTCTCTCTCTCTCTCTGCCTCGAGCCAGCTTCGAGTTTTATGTTGCCTAAAGGCTCTAATTGACTATAATAAAGATGTGAAAAAAATACCACATGGATATTAAATGAGCAAGCATGCAGAAGTGGTGTGTGTGATGTGGATAACTGAATTAGAAGTGTGTGCACCACCATGCTAATCAAGGTCTATTCTAAAACGGTGGCCAAGCCCTTAAACTGTGGCTGAGAGTGAACCAGCGTAAAAACACATCAACACCATTACACAGAGACAAGCACGTTTAGTCTGACATATTTGGTATCCCTGTAGACTTTGAGGCGTTCCACTAGAGTTTACATTTCAAAGTTTGGGTGCACAGCTTGAGTTAGTAATGACTGTCCCAGCAGCAGGTCACAGAGGTTTAAAGGGTTAAGCCACCTCTGCTGTCCTCGTGCCTCCTGGTCAACGCTCAGGAATGTGAAGCCAGGGGAAATGTTTCAATGCACAGCAATCACTAACTAACTAATATGACCGCTCTGTAGGGAACCTTTATAGAGATTGAAGTAAAACAATATCATATTTCCAATATGTCTCCCATGAACCATTTTGTAAATGATCAACTTCGTGAGGTAGGTACACTATCAAACTGCTATGATGTAATAATACTGAGCATGCGAGGCAGAATGTTAGACCTCACTGACTTGAATGCTGTTGTTCCTCTCAGTTATGTTTTAATGCTGTGCGTTTCTGTTGAAAGAGGATGTCTCTCATTTATAACTTCTCTGCTGGTCAGAGAACTTAATACTGTTTAAACTATGTTTCTCTTTTACACAGGATCGACACAGGAAAGATTAGAGACTGTCCATGAAAAAAGATGAAAGATGGAGAAAGAATGAACGATGGAGATAGACTCAGTGTCCTACAATACTATCCAATAATGACATAATAGATATACGTTGAGTGTAATGTGCCCCACATATCTGAATACTGTAACGTTAGCGGTGTACATGCATTAAATCAAATGACACAACAAGCTTCAAGTGTCGAGTTACGTTAGAGAAAACTCTCTGGAGCAATAATACATTAAAGATATCTATTGATGCATTTCATCAGCGCTACCTCAGCTCCATGAAGCTGCAGGGCCTCGGCTCTGAAGAGTTTCTCAAAGTTTAGAAACTTTTCACACACATTTAACGACACGCTGCCCAATAACATGACTTGTTTCCAGATGAACGTTGAGTTCACTGGCTTTAATATTTACCGCGTTCCGTACATGCATACAACTATAGTAAAATAAAACGTGTAACTGCATCGTGTGTTGCTCTTACCTCAGTAACGTGAGCTAGTTAGTTAGCATCGTGTCTCATCTGTATCCATACAAACTCCATCGGGCTCCCAGATTTGAGCTGGAAGTTTACTTTTATTTACACAAACAAAAGAGCAGAAGGAACCGACACTAAGTCCTCAAGTGCCGTCTCTGTGGTCTAACGGAGTGGATACATTACAGCACAAACATTAAAATAACGACTTACTCCCAGAACGACACTTTTTGTTGGATTGGCTATTTCTTCAGCTCAGTAAAGTAAAACAATGCTATGCTGCCTCCACGTGCTGTCGGAAAACACGACTACAATAACAACATCAACTTTTTTTACCATGGTAACCGTGTTTCCGACACGGGACGTATACATAGGCACGTGTATCAAGTTAGGTTATCAAGATCAATAACACTACGCAAACATGTTTAAAACCAGTAAATGTGTTAATTAAATCAATTCATTAATGATTCGTTCAAGGATCGGTCGTTGTTGTAATCTTCCACTCTGTGTAGAATTCTGACGAAGTGTTAGTTGATTGATGGAAATAAAACAATAGCAACTTTTAACAAAAAACAATCCCTCGATGGGTCAAGTTGCTATTATTGCATTTAGTGGCCATTGTAAGTGCTTAAAGTTAGATTTACCACTATAGTTTTACAAAGTACGAGCTTAAAATGGGCTGCTGAACGCCGCATTGGTCATCCTCTTCTCCGCTGCTGTGTGTGCGGTTTGCTTCATGGCATTAACCCTTGTTTCATGACGTCAAAACTGCTTAATTATTCCTCCAACATGACCAAGGTGATCTATTTTATAACCGAGTTGAAAAAACTTAAATTAGCATCATCTTCTTTTAGTTTGAGCCACTAGAGGGCACCAGTGCGCCACATAGACTTTTAATCCTGTAAACCACGTGATCATTTGTCAGGGCCATCCTATGTTTTATGTGACCAAACACCTCTTCTGATACAGTTAGCTTTTTTTGTGTGATTGTTTCAGACCTTTTTTTTTTATTTATATGCTGCAGTGGTGTCTCAAACCCACTAATCAGCATTAATCAGCAGGTCAAGAAAATTAAAGATTGAACAATAATAATTAAATCCACTGTTGGTTCAACACATTCACAAAACCAGTAGCTCACTTTGACTAAATACATTCTAAATAATATGATCGTAATATAAATTGTAGCTTACTGCTACTTGTCCACTAAAATGACAATGGATCCAACAGTATAATCTTACCACCAAAGTGGTAAAATTGAACTAAGATGACATTCTTTTGTTAACACAATAATCATAAATCAATTAGGCTACTTGACCCATTTCTTTTACAGCATGTGTCTGAGAAGCTTAGCCAGAACTTTAGCCATTCACTCATTCAGGGGGTCACTGTAAAACAGGCCTGATGTAGTCATTTACCCCAACATGACTTTAAAAACCTACAGATGGTCATTATCAAAGATAAATTACTCACATCTGCTGTACAAACCATCAAGCTGAAGCCATTCACTCTAATGGAAACTCTTGCTGTGGAAATCAACATTTCTTGACAAATCTAATGAGCAATGTTGGCTTAATGTGTCTTTGATCATGGAAAAGAATGAAACTGATCATCACTATTTTTAATTTATAATAAAAGTATTTCTTCTGGTTTGTCAACACACACTTTTTGGTGTTAAATCAGATTACATTTTATGCATTTCACATCATTTTAGTCCAAATTCTGCATGTGCCATTAATAGCTCTTTCAGGGTTTTGATTTACTTTGGTTAACAGCATTAATGAAATATAGTCCCACATAATTCAGAGAAATTCAGATAAAATATGTTTAAAATTGTGTAAAGCACTGAATTTGAGTGTTTATTTCAGAACCTAAAATGCATTGAACTGCCCTGATTTAGTGATAGTGACATGTCAATACATTTGCATTGTTGTATAATATGTGAAACTGTTCAAATTAAAACACATAAACAGACCTCATTTGAAATATCCTCTAGTTCTGACCAGGAACTAAAGATGAACAAATTGTGTTTTTTAACAGTACTTCCTTTCCTCTTGTCAGAAACAACAACATTAAACCACACCTGTCTCAGTGGTTTTATTGTTTACCCGGCAGTTAGTTGCATTGAATAAATCTGAAACCATGGTTCCATGATACGTTTTCATGGGTGTTCACCGTTCACCTATGTATGACCCAATGTACAGATTAAGTTTCAGTACAAACAAAGGCCTCTTTTGTCTCTAGATGTTAAATCTTGCCCAAGAGATCCTGTTAGAGACACTGAAACCTTCAGAGAACAAGACTTCCTCAATTAAAATGTTATCAGCTGTCAGGTTTGCTCACAGGACAGGTATGAATACAACAAATAATTAAATAATTGATATAAATTATATATACGTATACAGTATATATGACTACCATGAGCTTTTCTCAGTGAGCTGACAGGTGTCGGTCACTCATATAGACTTGATGTGACATTTTAAGGAACAAAGAAACCACAGTCTGCAGCATTGGCAATATTTCTGTGTGAATGTTCTGCATATTGGTGGTTAAACAGTAAAAACTATATGCACTGTGCCATGCTACTTTATCTCTCAATTCACTGAAGCTGCCCTTTCTGCTGGGCAACGTTATAAAGCCCAGATCACCAATGTGACCGTATTTTGTGTGAGCCTTTTTTCTTATTGTATATAAACTTTGAGTAAGTTATATTTGTACTGAGAAGGTAAATATTAATAATATGAATATGGAAGCTGTGCAGGGAAAATAATTAATTACTTATTTTTTACTTATAACTCCTGCAGTCCAACAGGTTGAATAATGCTATATCCTAAAATAAAACTCAATTACAACAATTACAGAATAATAATAAATGCTAAAACATTATGTAACAGTGGCACAAGTAAAAGAGAATCATTAAGTCATGTAACAATATCCAGCCTATCTAAAGCTAACTACATTATCTATGATCATACCAGTGCATTTGTATTGCCTATGAAACTAACAAACCTTTCCTTTGTAAAAGGAAGGAAGTGTTATTTCTTCTTCTTACAGATGATAAGTAGTACGGTTACAAACTAAAATATCATCCAGATTAAAAATTCCTAGTCTGAAAAATTGTTTGATGATTATCAATATGTCTGCCAGCGCCATATGAACCCATGGGTTACTTTTCTTGTTATCTGATTGAAGATTAACAGTTAGAATACTCATTTGAGAAGTTGAAGGCAAGTTCACGTATTGCTGCACGCAAGAGAGCTGCAACAGCGCTGTGAGAACACTACCAGTCTGTCTCATAGACCACAAACAGGTTTGTGAAATGACTGAGTCCTTGCCTACTGGAAAATATGCCAGGGTCACACACCTTTCAGCCGGTGTGTAACAGACTGGCAGAATAAGTCATTCAGTTCATTAAAAGGCTTCTATTCTCAACAACCATCATTGATTACAAGTATTTTGCTATTCATTCAGAAACTCAGATTTTTCTTCGATAAAAAGTGTCTTTATTTAACATAAACATATTTAATAAGATACCAAAAAAGAGATTGATAAAGTTGATCTATTAAGCCTGTCTGTGTTAAATTATAAACAATTTAATCTTTTGCAAACAACTACTTTAACATTTTTTTTAATTGCTTGTTTTAATTTTAATTAAAATGGATGGATGGATGTTTTAATTCACTTAACCTTTAACATTACAATCAACATTGAAGAAAACATTTGCCACAAGACACAACAGTTAACTTCTCGTCATAGATTAAAACATCAATCTTGCGTGTATAAATCAATTAGGTTAAAAACAAAAACATTATTGTATTTCATCTTTGTGTAACATGTCACATCTTGTGTCTTAGACTGAGTCCATGAACAATTCACTAGTCCCCCAGAGCCTGCAGCACCGAGCATCAATGTGTGTGTGTGTGTGTGTGTGTGTGTGTGTGTGTGTGTGTGTGTGTGTGTGTGAAGCTTGTGAACTGCTCTGTTCTCAAGTTAAAGGTGCAATCTATCAACATGTTCAACTGTACAATAAACACAAGGGAGCCTGAGATCTATGATTGTCATTTAAATCGACTGCTTCTCTGTAATTGTTGTGCCCATGACAATAAAGAATGTGAGCAAGAGACAAACTTAACACGGTTGACTTGTCCACATTGCTAGAATAGATCCTGTTCTGTAACTGTTTTCACTGTTCATGTATGAGCATTCTTTAGACTGCGTAACAACAGTAAAATACTGATCATCTACACTAATATGTTTATCTCATACTTGATACCAAACACATTGGTGTTATTTGCGATAGCCTTGAAACAGTTTTGTGAGAAAAGCTGGTCAATGTATCTCTGAAAAAACGTTTTCTTTCAAGCAGGAGAGGGGGAATTCCTGAGTCCCTGCACCCACAGCCTGGCACCGTGTTTTCTCATATTTAAAACTGCACATAGACGACTGAAAAAGAAGTGGGCACACATGAACATTTGAACTTTCATATATTCAACGGTCGCTGTAACACTCGTATGACTACATTTGATTTTTAGGAAATTCCTTTTAACGGTGCCTCATGCCCGAGTGCCTCTGCTTAGTAAAAACGTTCTTATAAAGAGACCAGGAAGAAGTGTGTGCAATAATAAATGTTTTGCATTCTAACTCTCAGGAGACCTCACAGATGTCACATCTGAGCTGCCTGTGGTTTTTGTATTTGCCTTTCTACGAGAGCAAGTTGTAGCCTGGGAGCTTTTATGAAATGTTTTTTTAGATAAACCTATCTATAATTGAAGAAGTGGGCCCGTTTTCATGTTTTGAAGCACTGTCTGATTACATGTAATTACATATTCTACCCTCTTTCACTCAATTAGCTTCTGCTTCCTGTTGCAGTCAAGTGCACTGACTGATTTTAGGTTTCAAGTTTGGCATTTCCTCGTATGAATAAGTGTGACTTGTTTCTCACGACCCTTTTTGTTTTTCTTATGCAAATCTCACATGTGAATGGCAGAAAAACATAAATTACCTCATATTTCACACCTCTCTTTAAGGTTTAGTCTACATGTGATTTTTTATTTTCTGTTTGCACTCTGTGATGCATGAAGATGATGAACAACATCAGTCAAACCACACACAAAGTGCACAGAGTGAAACATACTGGTATACTTAAAAGACGAGATAAACCTGAGAGGTCACGTCAATGACGAGATCTTAGTTTTATAAGCTACAAAGAACCAACTTATTAATTATATCTCGTCCACACAACACATAGCCATGACTTTATTACTGCATTATGTTATTGTGATTACATTTTAAAGACAGACAGAAATGATTATTATTATTGCATTATTACACCAAAAGCTGGACTGGACTTACAATAATAAAACTAGTCACTTATACATCAACAATGGGCAGTACTACATTTGAGATCTGCATAAAATGTTAAAATTCTCTGCATCGTTTTTGAAATTGCACAAATACGACCAAACTGCCAATGGTCTTCATGACAGACAAAATAGAAAATTAGTTCAATTATTGAATTGCTTTGAGAATATCATTTACAAGCACTTACAACTGAGGGGAAATGACAACATTTAATGTAATGATCGTGCCAATCTTCAAACATGTTTATAAAAAAATCGAATTCTCCCTAACTTGACGAAAATGACCTGAACGTTTTGTAAAATCTTTTCAAGATTAAAATGGGATATTCTTCTTAAGAACATGATAGTCTTGGCTGCACATGTCAGGATTTATGAGCTGCAGCTCTACTTGAATGCAGTGAAACTTTGCACTTTTTGTCTGAGTGCAAAAAGATGTAATTTATTACTGCAAGTCTTTGGTTTCTGGATTGTAATTATGGAAAAGCTTGTTTTAAAGTATGATGTCTCTTTTAAATTGTTACACAATTCAGTAATTATCTTAGATTCTTTTAATCTTAATGAAGTGTTTTTGACAAAAATATCCATTCGATTCAATATCAAGAGTTACAAATACACAAAATATATTTTTTTCAGCTTTTATTTTTGCAACTTTATCACAGCAATATATATATATATATATATATATATATATGACAAAAAAATGCAACAATTATGTTACAAATTTTAAATCATATTTACACCTCCAGATCACACAATTGCACTCAACTAATGCAACAAAAATGTTCAGGGTTTTCATACAAACAAGCAAAAGATATCAGTGGATACTCATATATCGACACTACTGTACTATATTATACACTATACGCCATATAAAAAGCATCTTCAATGTATGTAGAACATTTGAATAAAGAAAAATACATGACAAAGAAAATCACATTATTGTACTAACTAAAAACAATCCATCCTTACCATGCAGCCTATGGCTTTATATTTACCATCCCTTGAGAGAGATATGCACAAAGTCTCCCATTATCAAGATGAGTATATGACAAGTTTTCACATAATAACCCAATGGAACAATAACTTTCCTAGTTTTCTCCTCCTACTCAAACATCTGCAGCTGAGTTCTTCCAGCTGTTGTTCCATAGCTTTCTGAAGTGCCAACATTGGTGAATGAGGCTGAAGAGTTGTGGCTCTGCAGTAACTTTGGCCTCCCTAGGAAGGTCTTGAACAAGATCTCGGCCCGTCGTCTGAAGTGATGGTCTAGGAAGAAGTAAATGACTGGATTCACACAGCTGTTGATGAAGGCCAGACAGCACGAGACGATGAGCCCGTTAATTTGCCACGACTGAGCATCGCAACTCAGATCAACGTTTGAGAGCTGCGAGCCAATTATGACAACCTTGAAGACGTTAAAGGGGAGCCAGGACACCACGAAGGCCATTATGATGCAGAGGACCATCTTGAGGGAGTGCCTGCGGCGGGCGTCAGCCCGAGGATTTGCTGCACAGTGGTGGTTGAGATGCACGACGATGGTGCCATAGCAGAGCACGATGATCAGCACTGGGAGGACAAAGGTGAGTAACGCCATGGTGAGGCTCAGGCAAAGAAAAAAGACAGAGTTGTTGTCCTCCACGCAGGAGAGTCCGTCACCGAACGGCTCCACTTTGCGGTACACCAGGGACGGGACGCCGAGCACCAGGGAGCCCAACCACACTGCGGCACAGATGACACGGATGCACCTGCTGCTCCTGAGGTACCTCGAGTCCATCAGCTTCACCACGGCCAGGTAGCGGTCGACGCTCATGCAGGTGAGAAAGAAGATGTTGGAGAAGCGGTTCACAGCTATAATATAGCTGCTCAGTTTACACAGCAGGTCCCCAGCTGGCCCAAAGTCCCAGTAGCCGCTCTGGCTGGCGGAGATGGCCCACAGAGGCAGCGTGAGGACGAAGATGAGGTCGGCTAGGGCCAGGTTGACAACAAATGTGTCCACCAGACGCCCACCCATTTTACCTTTGCTGCCCACGACCAAGATCACAAAGAGGTTGCCCAGAAAGCCTGTGAAAAATATGAGGTAGTACAGTACGGGCATGAATATGTTGGAGCCATGCAGGTGTGAGCCAGGGCAATCCCTTGTTGCATTTTGATCAAATAACCCGTAGTCAGTAGAGTTTTCAAAGTATTCGTAGTAATCATAAGGTCGATAATCAGTGTAGGCGTCCATCCTGAGAGATCACAGATGGGCTCTGCAGTGCAACTGTTGTATTGTGGCAGGGCGGTGAGTCAACATGCTGCTGTGAAAACCACAGAGAAAGATATTTCCTATTTCATCTCTCTTCTTCTCACTCCTCAGATCTGTATTTCTTTGACCGGCTGTGATAACTTCCTCTCAGCGTCCTTTCACTGCAATTTATGGACCAAAAGGACTGAATGTTTTTTTTATTAATCTAAAGACTTGTCACAGTTGGAAGCTTGATGAGCAATATGAAACTCTGATATTGCACCCAGCAGGGCAGGATGTGTAAAATAAGCCAATGCAATAGTTTGCCCTACTTCATAAAAGAATGTAAGCTTTTTAGATTACAAATATGTTTACAATTGCAGCTGTTTAAAACACTTTAAAAGCTATTATATTTTCCGAGACAGATAGCGTGTGTATGTGTGTGCATGTTTCATACTATACTGATATAGATATTTGCTCACATGAATTGTCACATCTGCCTTATGGATATAGTCCTGAATGAATTATATCCTGTATGGATCCTGTATTAGTTGTGTGTGACCAGCAGGGGGCAGGTACGATTTACTTGTGTTTTATATCTGACGACCTCCTGCCTGAATGCAGACTGACTGTTCTGGAGCAAATGTCACTGATCTTCTGCAAAAGAAAATGTTTGCTTCACTGAGAATTTCTCTCTCAGTGGTGAAAACATGCTTCCGATTCAAGCCGAGAAAGAGCAGTCGGAGTTCCATATTGTCAAGTCAATTTACAAACTATATGAATCCATGGATATCCTCAACCAATCCTTTCATTCTCTATCCAAACCAAAGCTTTTGAGTAGCTTTGTACCCATATATTCAACACATTTTGCATACACTGTAATATGCAGGCTCTGTTTACTGACAATTCTTATAGCTCCTTTGTTTTGTACCACAAGCAGTGGTGTTTGTTTGATTGTGAAGCTGCAGTATTTGCTTAGAAAGTGGCCTCAATGGTTCAATGGCTCACTTTGGACTTCATCATGAGAAGGTTTGATACTGATACAGTTTAATTTATCTGAGACCGAGTACAATATCAAACATTAATGTTGTTATTTGACATTTTGTAATTGTATCTGCAGTCCCTTTGGCAGCTCACAATTAAAACATACACACAGCGACAGAACGTCCCTAAACAAACAGGTCAGGACACTTAATACGAGATTACACACAGCAATAGTTGCTTTCACTTTAAATATGCAAACATCAACCAGAGTACATGTCAAATGTCTTTTTCAACAATATTTACTTGTCACTGACCAGATGAGTGCTGACAAACAACTATACAGTCTCTATGGAAACAGACTTCATGTAAACTGCTCTGTGTTTGTATTTACTCACTTTCACTAGTCTTTCTAGATTTGACCTGGTTTGTTTACTCGTCTACTTTATTACTGACTGTGTGTAGAGGCCAGTCTTAGCATTGTTTAAGCAGTGTACCACTGAGGATGTGTGATTGTAGCCAATAACTAGATAGCATATCACTTTCTGTTGTGCTCAATAATTCAGGGATTATTTATCTACCTGATATGCAACCCAATATGACACAACACTCTGTTTCTCCATAACCTAATTTGACTGTTTGACTATTTCTATTTTTGTCTATTCTGTACACAAGACATGAATTGCATGAAGGGGGATCCCTCCTCTGTTGCTTTTCCTTAAGTTGTTTCTTATCTGAAGTGGGGGTAATATGCTGTACATATTTTAAAGCCCTTTGGGGCAAACTTGTGATTCTTGAAATTGGATCATATTAAGAAAACTCACTGCCAACTTGTCTGCCAGTTAGCTAAAACCTGAAAAGGACAAAGACAGGGGAAATGTGTTTCCTGCACTGTAGACATGCTGTAACTTGAATATCTTGTGTGCTGAGGCAGCAGACAATGTTAGTGATAGTGTGATGTAAAGATAAAGCTGTTTCTCTTAATCAGCTGAAAGAAACATATTGTAAAAACCCGCATCCACCACGGAAACAACCCGATGCAACCTGAAACTGCTTGACCCTTTTTTGTGCATCAGCAGCTCATCTTTACCAAATACTGCACTGGTGTCAGTCTGGATTCAACCTGCAGCTCGTTGCTTCTATCTCGACGATTCACCCTGGTGAAAGATAACAGAGATTGACAGGGAGACTTTGGCAGCCATTGTTACAGAGAAGGAAACTGTCATTACGACTGCCTTCTCAAGACAGAATAGACTCAGGAGAAATGAACTCCACGGTCCAGCTCGCAACTATTGTGCTGTGGCCGGGAGCTGAGAGGTTGGAGGACAGGCCACATCTTACAACAGGCCGGAGAACGCTTCATTGTCCTGCGGGAGAGTTTCAGTTAAGAAAGCACAGCGAATGAATGACCTCCTTAAAGGATCCCTGCTCCACTTTCTAGCATTGTGCGTTATTCAAACACTCCTTTTACTTTGTAGTGTCAAGGTGATGTGTGGATATACTCATCACGGCAGACAATCCTGTCAGTCCCGCATTGTTCGGTTTGACGTTGTTCTCCCTCATGCTCAGCTGTACCTTTTTTCCTTTAAAAACATTTAATTATTTCTTCTGCATTCTTGCTGCTCTGTCAGTGGAACGCCACATTCCTCTCCTGGAATAAGTGCTGTCTCACTCCAATTGAGCAGAGTAAATGTGAGAGCCAGTGAATGGAGCAGCTTCAATAGGAGAAAATAAACAATTGCATTGGTCCATGGGTGCAGCGGGGGAGAGCGGATGAGAGGAAGGGAGAAAGGCCTCCCTAACGTGCTAAGATTCCCATGGATACTTTTTCTGTTGAGAGGAGGATCTCGTAAAGTACTTCAACAGTGGATGATTTCTCTTTTTTTCTTTTGCTCTGTTTTTATTTGAGGAGAGAAAGGGTGGTATGCGTCAGGATGATTGTTAGACATAGGGGGGTCACATGCACACACACGCACACACACACACACACACACACACACACTCACTTACTACACACACGTACAATTTGCTCCTCACTTGTTGAGTGTTAAGTTTCAGAAAAAGAGTCCATTGTTTAGGTGTGAAAGGTTCTTGTTTTAGCTGTTAAACTAAATCAAAAGTTCCTTGAACACAAAGGATTGCACAGCCTCAGTCCTATTGTCATTTTAAGTGATGAGGGGCTTATAACTGTTCCCTTTTGTTGAAAAACTTCACAATTTTAACCCACTTTTGACTTTCCTCCACATGTCTGATTTCTCCTTCATTTACATACAAACCACACGATGAAATACTTTGTATTTTTAACACCTTAATGCCCATACCACACAATAAGAGCTATGTACAGGAATACATGGAGTTACAGAATATGGTCACAGGTTGCACATATAAAAAATGCCAATCTGAGAATAAAAACTGAATTCCTCTTTCACTTTGACCTTTCCACAAACGCCAGCTAACATGAGGCCACACTTGTTGTTTGGCCCTCCGTTACCGCTGTTAGCCAGCCAGCCAAAACAAGATAATTAATATCAATCAGAGGACACTACGTTCTATGAAAAAAACAATTATTGTTGCTAGGTGGTTAAGTACATTTTCAAGATGATATCCAGGCTTTGCTACATTGTTATTGACATATTGATAGTTGGTGGTTACCATGTTATTGAGTGGTTGCAGAGGCTTCAGTAGAGTCTGTTAACTGGTCAGATCTTTGGTTAGGATTTCACTAGGTGGTTACTAAGGCTGTGTCCTATATGTCACTCCCTTGTTCACTCATTCACTATTCACTATGTAATAGTTGACTCAATAATGAGCAGTAAATTGAGGATTCAGGACTCTTGCTTATCACCGTCATCTGCATCATCACTAACAGCCGTCGAGTCATGCAACTGCATAGGTGGTGCGTTGCATTTTGGGATTGTTAGCAGAAAGTACTTTTTTTGTTCTTTAGTTGAATTTGTCAGGGTGCTAGTGGATAAAGTTAATCACGCGGTATGTAGGTAGGGGGTAAAGGATTTTGGATGATTTCTTTGATGGTTATGGGTGGTTGCTAGGTTGTATTATGTGTTTTGGCTGTTTCAATGTCGAGGCATATAAACTAAAGGTGACCGTGCTTTTGCCATCAGGGCCCCTCGGCTTTGGAACGACCTGTTGGAGGAGATAAGTAATCAGTAATTGTTTTTAAATCACTTCTTAAAACACATTTTACAGACACATTTTATTTGATGTTGTCGCTTTACTACTCTCTTTTATTATTGATATTATCGTTTTATTTTTATTAACTTAATTTAGAAAATTAATTTGAATTCTTAGTTTATTTTTATAGTATCGATTGGTTTTATGTTTCATCTATTGTAGTGCTTTATCAGGGTTTAACTCTTACCTTAGTTTGTCCTGCTTTGCAGGGCCTCACTGTTGAGCTGTTTTATTGACTATGTTTACTGTGTATTAACGCTGAACACTATTTTTAAAAAGTCATCCTGCACCAGTAACTGCTTAGCTGAGTGTTTCACAGGATTTTTTCCACTTAATTTGTTATTTCTTAAATTTAAGGTACACAGTATCACAAGCTGACCATTCAAATATATATTTTTATTTCTATTGTCTTTTCCCTCTTAACTTCCGCCCTTCTCTACTGAGACTTCTCTATAAATCAGGCATCAACATATTGGCAGGACACTCCTTTTACTCTTGTGCATGCCCCTCTGCTTGCTTAATGTAGGTGGCATTTTTCTAATGCTGGATATAACATTCAGGAATTAATTTTAATGTCAAATGTTTCATAATTGCAAAAACAAAACAGCCAAAACAGGATATTATGTGTAACATTTTCTTTGAACACAACAGGATCACCATTACGAAATTGAAAGCTTGAAGTGTGTTTGATCAGCTTGTATTTAGGTCATCAGCTTGTGAGGCTGTGGTGTGAAGGCAGTGAAAGGTATTGAGAATGGTACAGAAGCTCAGTGGAGCTTAACATGCAGTCAGTCGTCCTACTTTTTAAGCAATGGAGCCGGACAAACACTTAATCCTTTAGTTTTCAATATAATATAAGATTGTTTCATCCCCCCGTGTGTTTTCCTACTTATATC